AAACTGGAAACGTTAAAAAGCAAAATGTCAATTTCCTAAAACGTTTGGCCCATATCGTTATTTGAACTGGAACTGTAGAGACAACAGGAAATTTCACTGACATTTAAAGCTTTTTCCATATTTAAAAATGTTGAAAAATAACATACTTTAGTAGTTTTTAAAGGAAAGTACAATTAGTAAGGAAGTTGGGGGTGTTTCAATTGTCTAAAATTCAAACGTCTGACCGCAGTTGGATCGACCCAGGTGGTCTAGCTCCGCCTAGTCTCGATGTCGACTTGCTATGAGTATGTTCAGGAAGAAACAAATCGCGGACATAAAACCACTTGATAACCTTCGTTTCGTCGTCTCCTGACAGATCTGTTGATTTCGATTTGATCTGACTGAAGAGTGGTGTGTTTGGCCAAACTGGATGACCTTTTATTTCAATAGTGACCAATTCAAATTCTAATCAATTTTCAAAGAAAGGTTGACTCGCGAAGATGCCCAACGCAGGAGAGTCAATTCTCGACGATGGTAAATATCCACAGGTCTTAAGGAAAATGTGGCAAGTTTAAGCTCTGGGTTTGTGAGCCAATGTTGCATGGTTACAACCGGGCGAATAACTAGGACGCGGCACAGTTCGCACCGCGATATTAGGTAACCTACTTACACCACAACCCGTAACTCTTCAGACATACAATAAACTCGTTGCGATATTTTAATACTGCGTATTATTTTGTCTCTGTTTATACACTGATAGTTTCTCGGGGGTAATACTTTTCTCGAGAAAAGGTTTATTTATTGAACGCCATCGCAAGAGGCTCCGTGGCCCGTTGAGTAAATGGGTTTGAATTATTTGCCCGCTCTTGATGCCGAATCGCGGAAAATGATTCATGTAGGCCTAATAAGAGGTGGAAGTTTTCAAAACGAATTACAAGATTACTTCTACTACTGTAGGGCTTTTGAGCAATTTAAAAGTTCAGAAATTGAATCAGTTTTTGTGGTGAAAAAACATCTAATACGATCGAAAACCACGGTCCACATGCTAAACTCTCCATTTGGATGAGTTAGAAAACTTTCAGAAAACACGAAACTTTCAGAAAAAACTCTCTCTCTCTCTCTGAGCAGTGAGAACGTCTTTTTAATGATGGCCTCGATAAATTAATTAAATTGGAAATGTAATATTGTATAAAGTAATATTTTTAGGCGGAAGCGACTGGTGAAAGCCTCCGTGTGTGGACGCCTAATGATTTCCAAGCCGACGAATTTTGTTTAATTAAGGAAAAATCGACTTTTCCTTACGGTATTTTCTCAAACCGGATAAAACTGTAAAAAGGAAAGCAGTCAAAAAATAGGAAAAATCAGCAAGAAATTAATTAGACCATTTCTTTTTACAAACTATACATATATTCTTATAATAATCAAAGAAGAAATTTAAATAGGAACAGTTTTAATTTATTATATTTTAATTATTCCTAAAAATATCACATTTACTAAAACATAAATGATATTTTATTTAACTAATTAAATGATGTTGCTTTTTAGTAATTTTAAGGTTATTCTGTTAAACTTACATATTAAACATCTACCGAATCTTATTGTCATTAATTTATTAAGGCGAATTATGACAAACCTGACTTTTATCAAAGAGATACATTTTATTAATACTCTTTTATCAAAATCATTATTTAAAAACAATTTGACTATATTTATATTGATTGCAAGGAAAATCTAAGGCGGCTTTTTTTAAACTCATCCGGTCCATTAGTTTTCACTGTAGGCGTCGTTTGACCCGAAAACACACAATCGACTATTGAATATGCAGTTTAATCCGAATCGTGGTTTCACTCGAGACCCATAGCGAAAACAAGCGGACCAGAGATGATCAATACTAATCAAACTTCTGTCGCTGACAATAGATCGACGCCGCGGACCGCCCAGTGCAATTTCAACAACATTTTCGTTCTGATTCAATTTGACGTTTCCGTCGGGAACTTTTTCCGCGCTGGATGGTATGTAAAGAAGGAAAAATGTAAAAACTATGGCCCATATAAAAAAAGAAAATAAGAACACTTGCTAATAGGCAGACAATATTTGCATTTTTTTGGTTTGTTAATTTCGTTTTTTGTTTTTAATTTTTTCTAATTATCTTTTAACTGTGTTTATTGTTATTATTAAGCCGCTTATTCAAACGGAATATATCTGCGTGCGAAGCAGTGCCAAGCTCTCTTTCTACCCACTTTCCCCTCAATCAATTGTTTCCCCGTTGGTTGTTTCGAATTCACCTCCTTGTCGACAATAAACATTGTTATATTACACATTTATTGTTTAAAAATAAATCTCTCTCGTATTTATTAACCTGTTTGATAAATAAAAGCGAATATTATTTAAAAACGTTTAAATAAACGAGGACGTTTGTAGCGCATTTTATCCTTGTATGGATTTTTAGGACTTCAGGGTCGAACTGTGTCTTTCTTGCCAGACTGGCATTGTTTTTTATGTTACAAAGTGATAAACAAAGGAGTACTAATTGACGTTTGGGTGTTATTGCAAGGAGCGAACAGGGCCAGGGGTTTCAATACAGTCTCTCCCAGCGTTTCGCTCATGTGGGACGCAGAAATCGTCGGTATTTCATTCTAATTTATTCGCCCCAGATAAACCGTGTAAACGATTAAAAGATTAACAGTTGATTGCGCATCATGGGAGATCGAAGATACCTGACTTTCACGCCCTTTTCCATTCCTTTCTGATAGAGATAACAGAGAATAGAGGAAAAGTGAAACTTTCAAACATATGCCGGTATTGTTAATTAGATTGCACAATAAGTTATGAAAGCATGGAAAATGTTTGCATAATTTGTTTTTAATTAATAAAGCCTTTGCAGAAGGATTGATTCTAACAATAAAATGAAACATAAAATATCCATTTGACTGGATGACCATCGTGACTTTTCAGAACTTACAAAGAGCTTTAACAAATCAACTCGACAATAAATTGTACAACTTTATGTCTTATTAATTAAAACTATACAGTGTGACCTTTTTAGCTGGATCGTCTGAATTTCTCTTGAACAAATAATATAATAAATTATTATAAAAAAAACCCTGCTTAATATTTTTCAGTCTGCTGGAACTTTCTTATTTTTTTTCTAGTTTTCTCCAACTTGGTGGGTGCCCCATAAGGGTGGTTAAGGAGAGCCCATCTTTGCACCTGAAACCAAGGCAGTTCGAATATGAAATGTAGTTATTCAGAAATCGTGAGATACGGTCTGGTGTGATGTAGGTTTCAGAAAAACATTTTCTTTAACGTATTTTAATTATCGATTAATGGTCATTAATCACCACACATATGGAATGTAGGTTGGCACCCCTACTCAGGATGTTTTGGTAATTTTAATTTGCCAACTAGACATTATTTGCAACATTTTCTTAACAAAATACAATAAACAAACAAAAAATTTCAACATATAGCAAACGGAATTATGTGTTTTTTCCAAACTTTTTAACGTAACTTTGTTATTTTGTGGCCAATTTAAAATCGGATTGCAGCTATGATTTTAGTATAACAAATATTTTAGAATGACGCACGAAGTCCTATTTGAAAAATTAACATTATTCAGATCCTAAGGGAAAAAATGTATATATTGCAAAACAGGTAGACATTTTTAATTAAATTGAAAAATATTAAATACTTTTTTATAATGTGTGGTGATTAGTGACCGTTAATCGATTTCTAAATAAATATTTTTTTATAATGTTTTCTGTTCAAGAGAAATTTAATTTGTTTATGACCACCCTATTTAGGTCATTGTACATCAAATTTTTGTCATTTAAATATTCCAAAATCTCTAAAAAATTTAGCTAAACTTTTTTAAGTACATTATGCCAAATTCCTTTAATATTGGGCATCAGTCTAATTGAACTTTCATATCTTTTTTCTAGGTTTCTCCATTTTGGGGGACACCCCCACATGGGTGGTTAAGGAGAGCCCATCTTTGCCTTTTAAACCAACAGTAGTTCGGAGATGAAATGTAGGTTGGCACCACTACTTGGGATGTTTTGGTTATTATAATTTTCCAACTAGACATTATTTTCAACAATTTCTTAAAACAAAATACAACAAACGAACAAAAAAAAATTTGTAAAAATTTCAACAGATAGCAAACTGAATTATGTGATTTTTCAAAACTTTGTTACCTTGTGGCCCTATTTAAAATCGGATTACAGCTATGATTTTAGATTAAAAAATATTTTAGAATGACGCACGAAGTCCTATTTAAAATATTAACATTACACAGGTCCTAAGGGAAAAAGTGTATATATTGCAAAACAGGTAGACATTTTTAATTAAATTGAAAAATATTAAATACTTTTTTTTATAATGTTTTCTATTCAAGAAAAATTTAATTTGTTTATGACCACCTTTATTTACGTCATTGTTAATCCAACTTTTGTCATTTAACTATTCTAAAATCTCTAAAAATTTAACTAAACTGCTTGAAGGTATGCAAAATTCTTTTACTATTGGGCATACGACCACAAAATGATGGTCATAAACTCAACATAATTTTTTAATTTTTAGTTTAATTTGTTAAACACCATCATTCCTTATTACCCAGTTAATCGCGTTCATTTATTAAGAATAACATTTGTTTTATATTAAACAATTTTCTTGTTGTCTGCTGATGAGGAAAAACACAATTGTTGCAGTTACAGTGTCCTTGACAAATGTTAATATAACAATGTTGGATCAGGAAGTACGGTTAAAATTTGTTTAACAAGTTTTGCTGAACTGTCAAAACAAGAAAATAACGAATTCTTTGTTACTGTCCTTGGCGATCAAAGTTTAAACTGTTCTGTCGAGTTAATTATAAAAATAAAGAGTTCATTGGTTCTTTTAATCCTCAGGGTGCTAGGTGTCATTTGGAAGTTTTTACGTAACTATACGACCTTAATCACCGGCCATTATTCAAGATTGACGACAGAAAAAAAGGCTTATAAATTTGATAAAATTTGACTCACCTAGAATTAAATGTAGCTTGGCATCTGTCTGGAAGGCGTAGTGAAGAGTGACGAGAAAAGGCGACTGTCTTACAGCTTCTAAAACCTGGCGTTCAGTTTTAGTATGCTCTGTTGTCTTTTTCTTCTGGACTATGGTCGCCTTTTTCAGTACTTTCATGGCGTACAGGCGGCCGGCGTCCTTCCCGCCGCGTTTTCTCACAAGGAAGACTTTTCCGTACGCTGAAACAAGCAAAAAGTTACAAATTGATAAACGCAAAAAACCTGTTTGGATTTTATTCTATGCGCGTGGCTGTTTTTACGTTTTGTTTTTGTTTGGCTTCGTGCGCCATGGCGAAAGTTTGGCGTCATGTGTAAACTTCAAATGGATCTTCACTGCGGGAAACCCTCTCCCACCAGCCCGCCAACTACGACTTATGAATGTGTGTTTGTTTTCCGTTTCAGAGAAGACGTAAGACAATTAATTGCCAAAATCTGACGATTAGACGCTATTTCCCACTGGCATCTTCAAGGTGAACGACGATTTTGGTTAAAATGGGAGTTGCCAATTTAACTTCATAACATCGACAAATGAAAATTAACACAAAACTTGCAATCCTTACTAAATATTTAAAAAACTTGTTACGATTTGTTAAGTATAATTAAGTTGGCTCAAGCCATTAAGATGGGCTTAGCACCAGCTAGGCATTCGGCAGATTTGCGGTTGGTGAGAGTTATTGTCTTATAAATATTGTATTTTTTTAATGTATCGAAGTTTTGTCATTTTGTTTGTGGGGATGTTTTCAGTAATTTGTTTACTTGTATTAATTATACTAGTTTGTGTTTCTATTTCTTTTACTAGGATAAACCCCGTTCAATATGCCTCAATTTTATTTTCAATAAGGCTAAATCTCTCTGCACTAAATTGTAAAAGCGATCATTTTACTGCTAATGGCTTATAATTACTCATATAAAAACAATGTTACTTGTTTCTCCTAACCTTTTTGAATAGAGGTTTTTTCCGAAAATTTCAAAGGCAACGTCGAGAATCGAACTTAGTACCTCTGCATGGTGAACGAGACACCCTAATTATTTTGTTAAAATAATATTTAATTAATAGCATAGTATATTGTTTTTTAAATTTTATTGTTTTGATGTAATTTATAATTATATTGAAAAATATAATCTTCTGTGATCTAGTCGTTAACGATTATTTTGGTCTGCCTAATCTCGCTGTTTTGGTCTGAAACGTTTCGTCTTTTCGCCATCTTCAGTGGTTGAGCTTTTATTATTTTACCCTCATGTTTATTTAGAACACATTGGATATAAAGTAACAATCGCATTTGTTTCTTCCAACTTTTGCTGATCGAAATGTCGAAATGAAAATTTAAATAGCATCGCCAAGATTGGAACCAAAGATTATCTAACCAATATTAAATTATTAGTAAAGTATTGGTATGTCATATATTCGAAATTAGAACTAGAAACAGTAAAAAGTGAAATGTCCATTTCCTAAACCGTTGTCCTAACTGCATCTCATATTTTGGCCAAACCGTAGAGATAGCTGGAAATGTTTTCGTCATTTTAAGGTTTTTCCACATTCAACATAACATAGTTTGTAATTTTTCTAAAGGAAAATAAAATTAATAAGGAAGTATGGGCGGTGGTTCAATTGTCTGAAAATCAAACGTCTGACAGCATTTGATCGACCCTGGTGGACCAGGTCCGCCCAGTCTCGCTTGTTAAGAGGATGCTCAAGAAGAAACAAATTGCGGACATAAAACCATTTGATAACTTTTTTCGTCTCGTCTTCTATCATATCTGTCTATCGTCGTTCTGCTCTGTCTGACGAGGCCAAACCTCGAGGTTCTCCATCCAGACCTCAACGGCATATCTCACTACTTCGATTTGGGCAAGAAAGATTTAGCAGAATATAAGTGTTAATTCATTTTCTAAGAAAATGTCAAATTGCATCGGTCAACAATGAATATCGAGGAGCTTTAATAAAACTTCAAGGGGGGGGCCCAGATTCGAACTCCAACCAATACGGCCTAAGAAATTTAGGGGTATTCATGATGTTTGTAAGATGATAACTCGAATAGAGTATGTCCAGTAAGACCGTGAACTCCCCCCTTCTTTTTTAGCATTTAAATGTTAATTTTTCCGCATTGCTCAGCATGGCGATTGGTAGAACCAAAAAGTAAGTAATAACAGGCCTTGAAGGATTGTTGTTTGTTTTGGTTTTCTTTTGTGTTAAATTATAAGACTCCAGAAGTTAATAAAAAAGGAAAATTTATCTACTCTTTCATTCAAAATGCTATCAATGCACTCGTAAAGTACTAATAAATTACAAGTTTCAGTTCGTGCCGACATACGTAACATCTAGCAGTCTACAACTTTATAGGATAGGGGATAAATCTATTTTGAAGAGAGTTTAAGGACAGGTCAAAAATTAACAAAATAATTGTATTGGTCTGATTTAATTAATACGTATTTAAGAATAAAAATACGTGTAAACAAAAAACAGCTGTTAAATTCACGGCTGCCATGTTGGTTACCTACGCCCTAACGGATAGCAATGTGACTAAATTTTCGACCTAACATCTAACATTGGCCCTGGCCTGTTAGATCTAGCTTAACTAGCCGATTCTTACAAGTCTACGTTGTTTTCCTTTTCCTCGATCTAACACGACCTAACGGGGTTAACATAAAGATCTTGAATACCCCCTTCTGTCCAACCAATATTAAATTATTGATATAGTATGTTAAATTCAGGAAAATATACATATAATTGAAATTGTGTTGTAATTGCGAAATATAATATTTTGTAGTTTGGTCGTTTTTGATCATTTTACTCTATCTTGCTGCTTTCATCTGACAGGTCTTAGCTCTTTACGACCTTCAAGGGTTGATCAATATATATATATTTTATTGTATCTATCAATCTATGATATGTATTTAGTATAAATATTGTTTAAAATATAATGTTCGTATAGTACATAATAGCAGAGTTATATTATTAATGAATATTGTAGATAGAAACTTTTTCGAGCTTCAACAAGTTTTGTCTTTAAAGAGAAAAAATTTGATGTGATGCGACAACATCTCCACTCAACATGTGAAAAATGCGACAAAACTCTCTTCTCAGTGATCTCACTTCTTCTAGAATCAAAATCGATATCGTCCTTAGCGCGAGGCGGCTCGTTCCAATCACATGAGAATTGATAAAGTTACTTTCACGTGACGATCCGCATACGTATCTGCTCACACACGCGTACCATTTGTACAGCTTTGTTTTGTATCATTACGGGCTGAATGGGCCGGGGAAATTATACATCTGCTGTAGCGCATCCGTCCATTTACTCAGTTTGAATAGCAATGAACAGATATCCTTCTCTACGGGTTAAAACTATGCATTACATCCGACACACGATCTTTAACAATAGTTAAATAATCCAGACAAACACGGGGCATAAGTTTTCCTGGGTTAATTTTTAAATAAAGGTTCATAAAACGTTTGGGGGTGGAGGTTGAAATAATTTTGAAAATAAACCGGCATAGGACCCGGGTTGTGAAACAATTATAAAGCGGCCCCCGCCGATTTATTCTCCCTCCGCGAACCCTTTCCGACCTTTCTACACTTTATTAAGGCCGTTTTCTAAGGATGACCGATCATCGTGTAATTTTCCGGCTTTAAATCAGCTTTTACGCCCTTTACATCTACCGAGAAAATAGTGGTGCAATTATTCGTTTTAGGCGTGGCCCGGCTGATGACGGAGGGAAAAGATCATTAGCTGTAATTCCCTCGTGCAAACAGCGCAAATTATAATAACGCCTTTGAATATTTTCCGAGAGATGAAATTGCTGCGCGGGACGATCTGCTATCTTTTGTTTACTCGATGGCTGGACGGATTTAAAGCCAGAGACGGTTACCAATTTCTCGATTAAAAACACTTCAGATAATATGAAGAAAAATTGACTCGATTTCAACAGTACAAAAACATAATTCCAATAAATCTTTAAAATATTTGATACGAAATAAACGCGATAAATTAATAAAAAGCCACTGTCATGTAGATAATAAATTGAATTTTACCTGTATATTAACTTCTTAAAAAAACAACATTCCGACTTTTTGAAGGTAAATAACAAAACTTAAAAACCCGATAAATTTTTGTCATGAAATCTTATTTTCGTTTGTATATTTAGAATCGCGATGTGAGTAATAATCTATTTTATCGTATCGAGAACCCTGCAATTCTGGCAGATATTTCTTTCGTGTTATTTAACATTGTATAGTCCCGCTATTGAACATTCGTTCCCCTTCGTCAACAATCTACTTCAAGAAAAACACCGTTTATCAAATAATGTTTGCGATATATCGAGGGGGGAAATCAAATTAAAACGACTAATTTGTTTTTGAAAAATGTTTTCTTCAAAAAAGTACGAGACATTGGAATATAATATTATGCGCTAAATTATAATTATAAATGTTTTTTTTTTAAATAATCTTTTAGGCAGTTTTATTAATTAAAGTTTTGGTTTATGTGTGGTGTTTAGTGACCGATAGTTAATGATTATTTCGAGATCGTGAGATGCGGTCTGGTGTGACGTTTTACAAAAACATTTTCCTACTCGTGCCAACGTTTCGACCTTTATTCAGATCATCTTCAGGACCTGGGATTTATAAACATTGTTTAAATTTTACAAATACATGTAGGATGTGAATAAAAAATGAATTTGTACAATACTAGAAATTTTAGATTCAATCGAAGTATTTGTACTCTGTAGTACTGTTTTGGTTTATGATACTAACTAGATTTGAAAGATTTTGTATATAAAGTTTAAAAGTTTCTTTTTCGCCTAAAAGATAATTTTCCTAAACTCAAGACTTATTCACCACTCAGCACGCTTTCTCTCCCTGGTTGTTTTACATTTGTCATCTTTCGTAAACAAACTTGAATAACACGAAGCGAAAGTGGTTAAAATGGTTAAAAACCATTATCTGGATGATCTTTGATCCCGACAGTTGAGTTAGTCTTATCCGTATTTTTTTTATCAAGAATAAAATTAAAATCCGGTTAATAAATTAGTGTTATAAATTAGGAACGTTTTCTTTGCAGCTTAATTAGAGAGCTGGAAACTTTGTATAACAGATTGTGTGATAAGTTGGTGAGAAAAACTTTCACATTAGTGCGGAAGTCGATGAAACAAACGATTTTTTGGCTGTTGTTTTGTTTCTG